TTAATAATGCTGAGCAGTGACCACAACTATGATATTTACAGACCCGTGAAGCACAGAGGACAGCCTGAGGTTGCTCACACCGCTAGAGACTCCAAGGACTTAACTCTGCTCCAAATGGAGCATGTATATTGCCCAAGGCTGCCAAAAACCCTACGGTTCATTAGCTTTTACTATACAGAGAAATGCGCCAGGCCTGGTGCGAAAATGACATGATAAAGCACAGTTGACAGCAATGGTCAAAGGAAAAGGCACAGTGGGAGCGGAACTGCTCTGTGGGACATTGCTCATGCCTTTGGAACAGAAGAAAAATACCTCTGCCTCTCCATTTGCAGGCCCAGGCGGGCTGGAATCTGACAAGGACTTACTACTTTCGAAATGTTTTTCAGGGCTTCGGTTTCTTGCCCTGGATTCGCCTTGCATGGTGATGGATGTCCCCCCCACCCCACCCCCCAATATGTTTTGATGCTATGTCTATTTGTGTGGTTTGTGAGTTGCATATTGGGAAGGGGTCAGGAGAGAGAAAGGAATAGAGAGATAGGGGGAGGAAGGGAGGGAGGGAGAGAGAGAGAGAGAGGACTGGATAGAGAAGGGGAGGAAGAAAAGAAACACAATTGTAAGTAGATGGAAAAGAGCAGAGAACAATAGAGACAGATGTGGGACATCAGACAAGGATGGAGGGTGGGAGACCCTGGGCCACGGCTCCCCGTTTTTTTTGGGTTCTTCATACTCAAGAATGGTCAACTTATCCTTCAAAGGATACTTACACAGTACTCCCCTTAAGCCCTACAAGAGACACAGAGCTAATATTTTTGGTCTCGCCCTTCAGCCCTGATACTCTTACCATGAACTCTCACCCCTCTGTTTTATTTTGCCACTGTCATATTTTTACTTTCTGTCAAAGGCCAGGCTATGTGGCTCAGGGGCATTTATAGTTTATGGGTTAAAACTTTGGAATAATTAAGACCTAGTGCCTTAGCAAGCTTCATGATTATAATACAGTATTGTTGTCTATACTCACTATTCTGTGTATTCGATCTCTAGGACTTATTTACTACTCATTGTAAGTTTTACCCTTAAACACCATCTGCCCCATGCCCCCCACTCTGCACTGCCTGAAAACCACCATTTTACTCTCCATTTTTATGAGTATGGCTAAAAAGAAATGATAATTATGTGAAATGGGGGTACCAATTACTGTCACGATGGCAACCATATTGTAGTATAAAATGTATGAAATCCACATGTGCACTTTATTTATTTATTTTTAAAAGATTTTATTGGGGAATTGGAGGAGGGGAACAGCGTTGGGGAATCAGGGAAGGGGAACAGACAAGTTGCTGTCCTTTTGTTCTTCAGTCTAGTTGTGGAGGACGTCACTTCACTGGCCCATGTTGGTATTATCATTGAGCTCTTTCCAGGTGAGGCAGTCGCTTGCCAGCCATTGGATGGACGCTCACGCCAGCTGCCAGTCACTCAGTAGCTCATGGCAGCCCACTGCAGCTTCACTGAAGCTCACACCATCACCGGCGACTCACAGCAGCCCAGCTCCAGGTCGAGCTGTTGTTCACCATCTTAGCTGTAGAGGGCGCAGCATCATTGGCCCACAGGTGGGATCCGAACTGGGGCTCCACTGCTCAGAGCTGGCGTCCGAAGCCAACTCTTAACCAAAGCACCACTTGGCCAGCCCCACATGTGCACTTTAAATATACACAACATTATATGTCAAATATATTTCAATTAAAAAAAAAAACTTTCTCAGGCTATTAGAACACAACTTTATCTGACCCTACCACACTTAAATCTCTTTACTCAACTTTCCCCCCTCCCCTGCCTTGGGCTCTCCCCTCTGCACACAGCCCGGGGTGAAGTCTCATCCTGCACTTCCCACACACACCCCCCACTCCATCTGAAGTATAGATCCCACCTGGAACGTTACAAGATGGCTCGATGTTCCCCAAAATGTGTTCCCTGGACCGTCTGCATCAGAATCACAGGGGTGAGCGTCGCCGGGGAGAAAGAAAGGGGGATTTCTTTCTTACATACAGATTCCTGGGCCCGGTCCCCCCACATCCTACTAAACCAGATTGGGGAGGGGGGCAACTTTGGAAGGCTGCGTTTTTAATCCTTGACCCATGATTCTGAGACACAGGAAAGTCTGAGAACCTCAGCAAGACCAGCTCGGCAGTCTTCCCATATTCGTGCTCCTTCAAGACCCTGCTCAGATCAGATGCCCCATTCCCCACACACAGTGTGAGGTCCAGAGCCTGGGCCATACACCTCACACAAACCACTTACAGTCTCCAGCACCATGCTTTCTCATCTAAAAGCAGGAGGTGGCATCTAAGTTAGGAGCGGGGCAGGGACAGCACAGGTAACATATGTACAGGAGTGCAGCTGGCCTGATGGCAATGAGGGGAGGCTGGAGGCTGCACGCTCTGACTCAGCCGAGAAGCTGCCCCTCTGTCTCAGCCAGTGGTGGCCGGGAGGGAGTACCACCCAGAGATGCCACACCTTCTGAATTTCGAAGGGAAGCCATGAATCTGGGATTTTATGTAAATTTTTCTGATTTTTAAATCTGGTTAATTTTTGTTTAACAGGCCAAACAAAATATATGTGTGGGGCACAGTCAGGCTGTGAGGCCACATTCGCAACCTCTGGGTGAGAGCTCTCTAGGGTTGCCTTCAGCATGAGGGCTCTGAGATACTTGACCTTGAACCTCCCTGGCTTAGTAAGTTGTTTTGTTGCTTGTTGCAGCTTTTGTGCTGTTCCTTCTCCTTTCTAGGAAAACCAAAGGTTTTCATCTAAGCACTTGGTTGTATTAACTTGAATCCTTATCACAACCCTATTAGGAAGGCATTGTCGTCCCCAATTTCTATATGAGGGAACCGAAGCCCAGAGAAGTTAAGTAACTTGCCCAAAGTCACACAGTTGGTGAGCGGAGGAGCCAGAATCCAAACCCAAAATGTCAGAATCCAAACCTAAAGAGTTTATATTAAATATCATAATATTTATAGACCAAGCTGGGATACTTTTGAGAGTGAAAGAGACACTGTTCCTAGTGATGCCAGGACAACAGATGTAAACCACAACAATCACAGACAAACCATAGCATAAGGTCACCACCCTTATGTATTCTGCCACCTCAAATGTACTCTCTGAGTGGTCTACAACTTCGTGAAAATGGCACAGACTTTGCAGCCAAACTCCAGCTTAACTGAGCTAAAGCATAAAAGGACCTCGCTCAGTGCCTGCTACATGGTGGGAACTCAGCAGGTGTCTGTTTCCTTCAGTCAAGCTTCTAAATCCCTACTGAGGAGTATTGGCAAGAGTAACATAGAGCCCCTGATTCTCAAGGCCCTCACAGTATAGTTGCTAGAAAAAAAATTAAAGAACATAATTGAAAACTCTTAAAAGATCAATAAGGCTTTAGTAATCTAGGGCTGAGCATTAAGAGTTCAGAGATGGCGATTCTCTCAGGTTTTCAATTTCTAAGGGTGACTAGGGGCCAAACTGAGTCTTGAAGATTGAGTAGAAGATGGGAAGGCTAGAACTGAGGATAACTAAAGAAAAAAAAGAGCTGTGCAGAAGCTGAAGGCTAAGGAGACTCGCTGTGACTGAACTCTGTTGGATGTTTCAACTCCATTCCAGCCCTGATCATACTCCAGACAGGACAAAACGGGAAAATATCTCTTATTATACTCTAGACAGGACAAAACGGGAAACTATCCCTTGTGTGTGTGTTTTCTGTCATTATCTTGCACCCATTCACAAACCCCTTAGAGGACCCGGATGAGGACTTAAACCTCCTAGGTGTTGAAAGTACAGACAGGAATTTCTGAGAAGAATTGGACTGTGGTTTTCGAGAACTTCTGAATTTAGGGATTTTTGAACAAAATGCTTCCCATCACAATGGTTTTTACAGGAAGAGCAACAGCTGCTGGGTACCTAGTCCCCCAGATTTATGTAACAAGGAAGGGCAATTTTCATCATCCTTTTTCTGCCGTGAGGGAAATTCTAAACAGGCTCAACACTACCCTCTAGTGTGTAAAACAGGCAGATGCGGGGATCCGAGAGCGTTCATGACAAAGCGAGCTGGAAGAAGCCTGGAGAAGGTAAGAGGAAAGAAACGTTCTTGTATCTGCAGACGGTCTGTGAATTAATAAACGTCCAAGGCTCTAAGAAATCAAATACTTCCACGAGACAAAGATGCTCCCCATAGAATATAATGTTCTGTGAAGCACCAGTCCCATGTGACAGTCCATTCACACAGCCCCTCCAAGGCCATGGTTAAGTAGGTTAGGAGTCATCTGAACACCATGTTCCCCAAACCCCTGTCACAGAATCAGAGTGCTCAGTAAAGGCCCAGATAGGAAAGGCTCTGGGAAGTTATGAAGTGACGAAATTCCGTTTCCCACACGTTTTTGACCACTGCAACTTTTTCTATTTTGTTTTCTCTTAAATCCATATCTCCTGGGATGACTGCTCCTGGAGCATAATTTGGACAATGCTAGTAGAAAAAAGCATAAAATTCTTACCTTAGTCTCCCCATATGATGAAAGAAGTCCTGTCCCATAGGCTTTGATGGCTCCACTTTTCTAGCAAAGATCGAATTCAATAGTAAACCAACAGAGCTGACACAAGGACAACAAAAGAACAGGGTTTAGTAGGTGAAATGACTTCTTTACTCAATGACTGGTAAATATCAAAGCCAATGACACTGACCCAAAATATCTAATCCAGGGTGCCAAGGATGGGAAGACCTCACAAGAGCCTGAAGAGGCCATCTTTTTCGGCCCCACCCATACTGCATCCCAGCCTTTAAGGAGGACATAACCTTCTTACAGCCCTCCTAAAGCATCACACTCACTCTATGTCTATTGAAGTTCAACGGAGGCTTAGTTCAAGTGTCGTGTTTTCAAATTTTCTCATGACTCCAGGCCCCAGTGAACATTACCTTTTCTGACCTTCAAACAAACCAACCTTTCATTTATTCATCCGAGGCATACTGAACACCTGCTACAGGCGCAGCATGGTGTGGGAAGGTCTGGAAAAGACAAAGAGCCTACTCTCAGGAGCGCACGATTTCTACTACGGGAGGAAGATGTAAAGAGGGGACAACACAAGCTCTGCTGAGAGGCAGACCACAGTTGATGAAGATCCAGCCAGTGGCAGGTATGTTTTCTTGCAGAACGCATCCAGTAGGATTCTCACCATGATCACATGGAGTGCCTGCAACCAAGCCTGGCTCATGGTAAGCACTCAGTTAACATTAGCTTTTGTTTGTTATTGTTATTACTTCTGCTGCTATTATACATTACACTTATTTTGCACTGCTTTATTCTTGTTTGGCTGTCCAAGAAAATACAATGGTGAGATGCCATCTTCCCCACACGTGGTTCAGTTGGTGAAAGGACTTCTTTACTCAATGCCTGGTAAATCCCAAAGCCAGTGACACTTTATTTCTCTTCCTGCAAAACAATGGCATCAGTCCCTCTCTTTTTGGCTGATTTCACTGATTCATCAATTGCTTCCTTGGTTCTTCCAACTAATATTTATGGAGCCCCCATTATATGCCGGACTGTGCTACAGAGGGGGAAGCTAATAATCAACAAGACAGATAGGGTCTGTGTCCTCCTGGACCTTGCTATATCCCAGGATGTAGGAGATGATTTAAGTGACCTTATGTTATGTGAGTATATTTTGTGACATGTGGGGCTGGATAAATGTAGAGTACTATTATAATTTAACAACTCACCACCAGTACTGCTGTTAAGCGTGGCCTACAAGTTTCTGGAATGGAGAAGATCATGTGCTTACTTGGCACTCTGCCTGGTTTCAGAGGCACTCTCAGAAATTAATGAGTGGAGAAATTAATTAGAAGCATTGTAACTGAATTCCATTTGCTACATAAATAGTAATCATGATGAAAAGAAGGGGGTTAATATGTATGAGTTAATGAGCTCCTGTTATGTGATAAAATGACATTATGCACTTTGTAAACTTTGACCTCCCAGCAGCCATGGTGTTTGGTGTCGTATTCCCATTTTAGAGATGAGACAAAAGAAAGTTCAGGGATAGTGAGTAATTTGCCCGGTCCTTCAAAACTGTAAGCACAGATAGTAAGGGAGCCCGTGGCCTGAGAACACACTCACATTTTCCTTTTCCTTTAAGGAGAAGTTTAATTCTTTCCCCAGATCCCATATTTATTATTGGGAAGAATGGTCGTCTTTTCCAGACTAAACTAAGTGAGAATGGATGAGGTGATGAGTTCTACCTAATGTGTCACAGCTGGAGATGAGGACCTTGGCTATTAGCTGAAATTAATGCCTTGAAGGCAGTCATGACCAGCCCCAGGCTAACTGGAACCCGGGGCATCTCTGATATAATGCAGTGATTCCCTCCCACATTTTCTAAATAAAGTGAAACTAAACAACAGATTTCCTTAACACCAAAAGGCCAGGCGTCTCTGTGTTGAGTGAGGCTTGATGCAGAATTCGGCCACACAGTAACAGGGCCAGAGGGGGCCTGAAAGTCATCTAGTCCAACCATTTGCTTGATACAGGAATCTCTTCTACTCCATCCCCAAGTGCCCTCTACTAGCCTGTGCTCTCACACCTAGGGCTGGAGAACCCCTCCCCGCTTGGGGTAGCCCATGTGATCATTGGAGTGAGCTGGCTGGAAAGTCTACTGTATGTTGAACTGAAACCTGCTTCAGTCGCTTCTACTCATTGGCTTTAATTTTCTCCTGTGAGGTCACCCAGGAATCTGATCTGTTATCCACATAATTAGCGTTTCCATATTGCTCTCACGATACTGTCATACCACACACATATGCTATTCTACACTAATGTTTTTTCTTTCAACTCATTGTAAATTAAACACCTATTTTAATCTCAAAACAGAGCAAAATATCTGTGAGATCACAGGTTTAACGTGTTTTTTAATATTTTTCTAATAAATATTAATTATAATATCAATGCATTATGATGTGTATTATTTTATTGATCTATTAATAATTAGCATTATTATTATTGTATCAATGGTGGTATGGCTACCTCATTTTGGGAAGTACCATCTGTGTCCTTTCTCTATATATGGTATTTGAAAATAACAACCACAGCTAATTTCATTGGAACAAACATCCCCAGTACTTTCAACCATATTATATTATGCAAAATTAATCTACTACTCTGGTTATTTGCCTCTGATTTATCTGTATGCTGATTTAGGTTGGGGAGGCAGTCTCAAATATAATTCCCTTATTATATATGCTCTGATTTAATGATACAATCTGTTTTCATTAGCTTTCTTGGCAGTCCAGCTACTGTATGTATTTCTAAAGAGTTCACTATTGCCTAACATCCTTAAGTCTTCTTTTAAATGTGTACCAAAGTTATATCATCCTTTTCCATCTTGTTAATTCTTTTTTTTCCAGTAGTCAATGTTTTTTTTACAGATTTACTGAAATATAATTGACACATAACAGTGTGTAAATTTGATGTGTACAATGTGTGGATTTGATAAACTTACATATTGCAAAATGGTTACTGCAGTAGCGTTAGCTAACACCTCCACCACCTCACATAATTACAATTTCTTTTTTGTGGTGAGAACATTTAAGAACTGCTCTTTTAGCTACTTTCAGGTTTATAACACAGTGAGTGTTGTTTACTATAATCATCATTTCTACATTACAGTCACAGAACTTACTCATCTTATATTGGAAATTTATTCCTTTTGACCTACATTTTCCCCATCTCCAGCCCCTGGCAACCACTATTGCACACTCTGTTTCTATGAGTTTGGGTTTTTTTTATTGGGTTGTCGGAAAAGCCATGACAGATTTTTTCATGTTTTTCATTGCAAAAATGCGTCATGACTTTTCCGACAACCCAATATATTCCACATATAAGACCATAGAGTGTTGTCTTTCTCTGTCTGACTTATTTCACTTAGCAAATTGCCAAATTAAAGAGGATACAAATAGTTGGAAAGATATCCCATGTTTGTGGATCAAAAAATTAATATTGGTAAAATGTCCAACTACCCGAAGCTATCTATAGAGTCAATGCAATTCCTATAAAAATCCAAATGGCATTTTTCACAGAAATAGAAAAGAAAAATTCTAAAATTTATATAAAATTTCATATAAAATTTATATGAAAGACCCTGAATAGCCAAAGCAATCATGAGAAAGAAGAACAAAGCTGGAAGCATCATACTTCCTGATTTCAAACTATACTACAAAGCTGTAGTAATCAAAACAATATGGTACTGGCATGAAAAAATAGACACACAGACCAATGGAACAGAACCGAGAGCCCAGAAGTAAAACCCTTGCATATGCACTCAACTAATATTTGACAAGAAAGCCAAGCATACTCAGTGGGGAAAAGAGAGTCTCTTAGTCTCTTCAATAAATGGTACTTGGAAAACTGGATGACCACATACAGAAGAATAAAATTAGACCCTTGTCCTATACCACACACAAAAATTAACTCAAAATGGATTAAACACTTAAACATAAGAACTGAAATTATGGTACTCCCTGATATGACACCCAAAACCCAAACCACAAAAGCAAAAATAAACAAATGGGACTCCATCAAGCTTCTGCAGAGAAAAAGAAACAATGAACAAAATACAAATGCAACATACAGAATGGGAGAAAATATTTGCAAATTATATCTCTGATAAGAAGTTAATAGCCAAAGTGTATAAGGAACTCATACAGCTGAATAGCAAAGAAAACCAAATAATCCTACTAAAAAAAAAATGGGCAAAGGACCTGAATAGACATTTTCCCAAAGAAGACATATAAATGGCCAACAGATATATGAAAAAGTGCTCAGCATTACTAATCAGCAAAAACATGCAGATTAAAAACACAATGATGTATCATCTCACACCTGTTAGAATGGCTATCTTTAAAAAAGACAAGAGATTACAAATGCTGGTGAGGCTCTGGAGAAAAGGGAACCCTAGTGCACTATTGGTGGGAATGTAAATTGGTGCAGCCACTATGGAAAACAGTATGGAGATGCCTCTAAAAATCAGTAGTAGAACTATTGGATGACCCAGCAATCTCATTCTGGTTACATAACCAAAGAAAAATAAATCAGGATCTTAAAGCGATATCTGTACTCCCATGTTCATTTCGGCATTATTCGCAGTAACCAAGATATGGAAACAACATAAGTGTACATGGACAGATAAATGGATAAAGAAGATGTGTGTGTGGGGGGGGGCGCATGCACATGCACATGCGCACATGTATGTAATGCAATATGATTCAGCCATGAGAAAGAAGGAAAGCCTGCCATTTGCAACAACATGGATAGAACTTGTTCGTTTTTCTGAAACCAAGCATGAGAGCCAGCAGTGATCATTACTCGATTTCATCTTGGTCTATCAGTTGAACCTGTTAAGATGTTTGTTGATTCTAATTTGTTACCTAAAATACTCATTCCCACTTATAGATTAGATAAACATGTATTCTGTATCTTCATCCAAATCATTGACGGGCATATGGACCTAGAAACCTGTTTCCAGGTTGATATAAATCCATCAATCATCTTGCTTTGAGAACTAGTTTCTATAATCTATGTTTCTCCATTATTTATCCTCTAGTGATTTCTGTCATTTAATATGGCCTGTGTAATACCCTGGTTATTAACTTCTGGCATGCTTAAATACTGCTCCATATGGACAGTTTTGATTTCTGTAAGATTATTAAAGAATTCTCTAAAGATTACTCACCTCTGAAAGTTATAATAAGATGTATCGAGTACATAGTTATCCACTCATTGTATCAAACACTTGATATATACCAAGCATTTTTAATACAATTAACTCACAATGGTAGATATTAGGTCCTTAAGATACAGAGGAGGATTTCCTGAAATATCATAAAGTCATCAAAGTAACGCAGTTGGTAGGTGAAGCTAAGATTCAAACTCAGGTTCTGTCTGACATCAAAGCACAATCCATTTCCATTCGAAGATGGTAGGCCCTGGATGGAAACTGGGTTTGTATGGATGGACACAATTGCATTGGAGTGCACTGGGTAGAGTGTGGGCATTTGCAAAGCCAATATGTAACGTCTATCCTGGAAAATATAAAATCATCTGCTAAGGGCTTTGATTTGGAAACACTGAAAGCCTAATCACATA